GGACTGATGTCCCAATTTTCAAAAAAAAAAAAAAGTTAAGTCTGCAAACTCTAAGCTGGTGAGCTTGTCTTCAATTCCTAGCAAAAGTCTAGAACACAGTAATAATAAGGATAATTACCAAACATCTAGAAAAGGAAGTGATAAAAGACCCCACATGACTTTATCAAAAATAAGTTATGCCAGACTAACTTTATTTCCTTTTCCAACAGTCTACTACATTGGTAGATAATAGTAATGTTGTTGGGCATTTAACAAGGTTTTTCATACTATTCTTGTGAGAAAGACTGAGAAAAGTGGGCAAATAATAACAGTTAAGTGGATTTCAGAATTGGTTGAATGGCCACGACTGAAAGAAAAGACATTTAAATAGCCTTATGTCAACTTGGAAGGAAGTCTCCAGAAGACTGTCCTAAAGACTGGTGGTTGACCCTGGGCTATTTAAAACTGTCAGCAACGACTTGGATAAAGTCACATTTGCAGGGGACCCAAAACAGAGAACAGCTTCTAAAAGAGGTGAAACAGGGCTAAAACATTAGGCTGAATTTAGTTAAGATTAACAATACAGAAAAACAGAAATATCAAAGTATGGAGTCTAGAGGGTAGTTAGGTGGCTAAGTGGATAAAGCACTGGGCCTAGAGTCAGGAAGACTCAGCTTCCTGAGTTCAAATCTAGCTTCAGACACTTAACAGCTGTGTGACCCTGGCCAGGTCACTTAACCCTCTTTGCCTCACTTTCCTCATCTGTATAATGAGCTGGAGAAGGAAATGGCAAACCACTCCAGTATCTTTGCCAAGAAAACCCCAAACAGGATCACAAAGAGTCAACAGCAAATAGCACTGTATCTACAACTAAGGATATATTAATCAGTCCCACTGTACTCTGCACATATATCAATATTGGTCATTCATAGGTAAGCTTGATTCTTGATCAGTAAAGATATGAGTGGATGCTTTCCCCTACAGCTCTACCCTTCTGAGACTCATTCCACCCTAAAATTTGGAAGACGTTAATAGATTATTATTATTATTTCATTAATACAGCACCTTGAGATTAAAAATATACTTTTCTTGTAACAACCCTGCAGGGTAGGTGGGTGGAGTATTATTTTACAGATGAGGAAACTGTTACCATGGCAACAAAACCAGCGTCAGAGCCAGAACCTGAACTCAGACTCCTGGACAAAGTCCAGAGTCCTTTTCATTATATCGTACTGCTTCTAGTCCCCTTTATTATCCAGTTAAAAATCCTTTCTAGAGCATCTATGCAACCTCTACCTGAATTCTTCTAATGACTGGGAGTTCACTTCCTGAAAAACTATCCTATTTCCAGTGTTGGACAGCACTTACTTGCTGATGATTTATTTTTTATACATCAAATGAAAATCTGCCCTCCTTGTAACCACAGGCCATTTGTGATTCGAGGTAGTACTTTTCTCACAGCTCCTATCTCCCTAGCCTTTGGAACACAAGAAATTAATTTATTTAGGAGTAATCACTTCCAAGAGGGTGTAAAGGGAAAGACCATGACCTCTAATAATACATTCCCCAAAACCACCATGTGTTTATTCAATTGCAAGTAACTATTTAAAAACCTCCAGAGTTTGTGTACCTTGCTATTCTGAATATGTATTAGCACAGTAATCATTCTTACTGTTCTTCAAAAATGCAAATATTCTAGTATGTTATTCAGAGTGATGATGGCATGGAGGACAGAGGATTGGGAAAAGGAATTAATATACTGAATTACATTGAATTACATTGAATTACAAATCTGCTTTATGCCTACCATTCCCTCATCACTGTTACTCAATAGTCTGACTCTTCTTTTCCTTCCCTTCCTCATAGAAAACACTAAAAAAAAAGTTTTGTTTTGCTTTTTACTAAATTTCAGTTGGACTTGTTTATTGCTGTTCAGTCTTGTCCAGCTCTTGGTGACCTCATTTGGGTTTTCTTGGCAAAAATAATGGAGTGGTATGGCATCTCCTTCTCCAGCTCACTTTATAGATGAGGAAACTGAGGCAAAACGGGTTAAGTGAATTGCCCAGGGTCACATAGCTACTAAGTGTCTGAGATCATATTTGAACTTGGGTCTTCCTGACTCCAGGCCAGAGTACTATCTACTTCACTAGCTGCCCTGGACTTGTTTAAAATACAGCTATTATTCTATTTAGCCAAAGACACTCAATACCAATCGTTCCTTTGCTCACTGAAAAGGGATCTAATTTAGGAAAGAAATAACTAATCCACTCTATTCAGAGCTGTCAAACTTTTATTCAGGAGTATCTAAATATGCCATAAGGATATAGGCCACCCTAACAAGTACTTCAAAATGGCATAGCATGTTTCAGCCAGAATCCTAAAACATCCAATCAAACCAACAAGTTCTCAATTCATTAATAGAGAAATTAAGCATGGAAAAATTAATTAATTTGTCCATTTTATTTAAGTTCACACAAGAACAACAGAGAAAGAATTTCTAATGTGTTCACTTCTTAGGATATAAACAGAAGCCAAATTCTACTTCCTGACATCAGCTTCCAAAAATAAAATATTTTTTTCCCAAGCAGCATTCAATGAACATTTACTTGTAAAATGAAGGGTTGAACTGGTCCTCTATTGTCCCTTTCAGCTCTGACATTCTATAGATATTAATTACTCAAGCTGCTAATGCTATAGTAATTTTTAGCTTCAGCTTAAGGTTAGTTTTTCAAGATTAATGCTAAATTTTGAAGGTTAAAATTTTTTTTCCAGTAACATTACTGATTCTACACAAGGCAATTCCTGAATCAAACTAAACTGACACACACAAACATAATTAGTTGGGTTTTTTTTAATATTTTGAAGATATCAAAGTGAATCAACACCTTGGAATTTTGTCCCACTAGAGCAGGGGTTCTTAATCTTTTTTGTTGTGGACCACATTGGCAGTCTGTCAAAGCCTATGGATCTCTTCTCAGGATATTTTAAATGCAAAAAATAAAATGCATAGGATTACAAAGTAAACCAATTATACCAAAATACAGTTATGCTGAAAAAATTTAAGTTCATGGACCCTGGGTTAAAGAAACTCTGTACTGTATAAGGTTCAACAGGCTTTTAGCAAATCTGCATCTGGACTCTTAAAAGAAGATACTATGCTAGATAAAATGAATACAGAGTTAAAAGTGCAAACCTACTGTGCACTTCACATGAAACACTGAAATTAATGCATGTTTCAGTGCATCTATAATAAAGGAAAAGTAATTACAAGAGGACAGGAAATACTTCTCTATTTATCCTAACTGTTTTACAAGATCTGCAGAATGCTACAGCCACAGAAGGTGGATTAATTAACCATTTTACTATTTGGACATAAAAAACAGCATTTGTCCACTGATTTTTCTAAGTATATCATGGTTTTTATTTAGCAAGTTATCTATGCCTGAAGTAATAAAAAAAATTCCGAAAATAACATCATAAAAGGAATTGAAAAGTACCAAAACCAAAATTATTATTCAATCCTGTTTTTTAATTGTAGATTCCTTAGTTCAGTGTAAAATCTAAAACACTAACATGCTAGGATAGCTTCCCAGAAAAAAAAAAGTCATACCTAACCATTACTTTCATGGATAAACTTTTGAGGTTCTCCCCATAATGATTTTTCTAAGTCCTTAAGTCCAGTTGGCTTTAAGGAAAACATTTGTCAGTAAAGTCATGTATTGTTTACAAAAACAACTTGTTTTGTTTTAAAATATGGCTGCACTGAACTCCAGATAAAGTGGGAGAGATCCATGGTTCAGGGGGAGAGTTTACAAAATGCATCTTCATTTGGCTAGCTCACCCCTCACACCCTGCTTTAACTCCGGTCTAAACAAGTACACACCGAAAAATCACCCAGTTATAAAGAATGTTCCTGGTTACTATAAGAAGGAAGAGAGAAAATGAAAAGGAGAATGGGGGGGCGGTGTAGACAGGACTGAAAGCAACTCAATACGTTTGGAATTAGCATCAACAGGAGAAAGGCACGGCCCCCACTGAGTAAACACTTGTTCCGCTCAAATTCGTAGCTGATCCTCTAGATTCATATAATGCATCCAAAGTAACCCTGATACAACAAGCAACTACGAAAGTCACCTTGTGTTTGCTCCTTCTTCCATTTCCCCCCCCCGAAAAAATTGTCGTTCATATCCTCCGTGGTCACCCTACATTAGGAGAAAGGAGAAGATGGGATTCAGGATTCGAAGCCCTGGGGGATCAGACTCCAGGGTCTGGACCAAAAGGAAGGAAGGGAAAATGAGATTCAGGATCCAAAGACGTCGTGGGAGAATCAGACTCAGGGGTCTGGACCAAAGGGAGGGAGGCGGAGATAGGATTCAGAATCCAAAGAGGTCCTGGAGGATCAGACTCAGGGGTCTGGACTAAAGGGCAGCGGGGGAGCTGGGAGCTGCAAGCTGGAGCCCAGGCGATGAAGCAAGACTGTCCCCCACCCCATCCCGGAGAGTGGCCCGGCTGGAAAGCGGAGTGGGGTGGTCAGGCGGAGCCCGAACCAAAGTTGAGCTGTCTTTGGGGAGGCACCGACTGCGCTCAGGACCCACAATGGAAGGCGCGGAGATGGAAGCGACCGCGGGCAAAGGCAGGAACGGAGCGGGGCTCCCGGGGCTGGGGGAACAAGGGAGGGGGAACAAGGGAGGAGGACTCGCTCTCTCGCACCCCCCGCCCGCGGTCCCGTTCATCCCCTCTCCTCGCCAGAGTGAGCACCGAGTGCCGGCCGCCCTCGGCTCTCCCGGTGAGCTCCCCCCAGTCCGAGGCTGGGGTCTGTCCCCGAAGACTGCTTCCCTGCACCCTGGAGAGCCCCACCTCTCCAACCCCCTACCCACAGGAGGAGCTGAGGGGGAGGGGGAGGGGGAGGGGCAGAGGCAAGGCGCTCCCCCTCCTCCAGTCCCCACCGCGCGCGCTCACACGCGCGCGCGCACACACACACAAAAAACTTCCACAACTCCCCAAAGAAGTTGTGCTCTCACCGTGCGGCGCCCGGGACTCCCCCGCGGGCCGAGCCGGCGCTGCTCCCCACTTTCCCGGCGGTGAGAGACAATAGTGTGGCTGCTTCCCCGGCTGCAGCGGCGAGGAGCTGGGCAAGTTGGTCTCTCCGGACCTCGAATCGCTTAACTAAGGTGGTTACTGCTGCTGCTGCTGTTGAGGCGGCGGCTGCTTCTGCTCCTACTCGCGTTCTTGCTCCAGCTCCAGCTCTGGTTCTGGCTCGGACTCCGGCTCCTCCCGCCGCTGCTGCTGCTCCGCCTCGAACACAGGCAAAGCTCCCCAACGCATGCGCCATCAAAAAAACGAGAGAGGGAGGGAAGGAGTGCGAGGAGAGGAGGAGGGAGGGGAGGAGAGGAGGAGGGGGGGGAGGAGTGGGGGTATGAACTCCACCAGCTGTCCTAGGGGTTAGCCCGGGTTCCTCCTTCCTCGATCTGTGATTGCACGGTTATGCTGTCAATCACAGTGGGGCAGACCAATGAGATAGCTCCTCGGAGGTGTTCTCAGGTTGCTGAAGGATGAGGCTTTGGGGGAGCGAACTAACCGGTTGAGAGGAGGGGCAAAGTATAAAAGTTTCTTCTGGGAAATACACAACCTCGTTTTTCTTTTTCCTTTTTTTTTTTAAACCTTGAGTTTCCGGCTGTAAAGTTTGCAGCTGTTTTGGTGAGATTAAGGTTGCAAGGGTTCACGATCCCATTTTCATCATCTTTTGCAACGTAGTAATTCTAGAAGTTTAAAGTTAACTGAAACCAATCTTAGAGGCCGCCTCATCCAGGAATCCCTTCTCCAGCATTCCTGGCAGATGCTGCAGGAGATCCAGTCTCAGCTCGAATACTTTCATCCACACGAAGCAGCTCACTTGTCAGGCACCGGCTTCCAGTGATGGAAGGCTTAATTGTGATTTCAGCCCAATGTCACTGCATGCAATTTTCATTCATAGGCATCTGAAGCAACACAAAACAAAGCAGCTTCCTCTTTCAAGTGAAAACCTTGAAAATACTTGAAAACGACTCTTGCCTTCCCTTAGTTTTCTCCTCTTTAAACTAAACGCAACATATTGTAGTAATAATATACTAACTATATTAACAATAGCTAACTTTTTATATAGCGCTTACTTTGTTCCAAGTACTGTGCTAAGTGCTTTATAATTATTACCTGTCTCATTTGATCGTCACAACCCTGGAAGGCAGGTCTATTATTATCCCCATTTTACAGAAGAATAAACTGAAGCAAACAGAGGTTAACTGACTTGCCAGGGTCACATAGCTTTAAACTATATATAAATTATTATCATTATTATTATCCAAGCAAAACTGTCTTGTTGCTTCAAATATTTATTATCTGCAGGCTTGTTTTCCAGGTCCTTGCCATCCAGGTTACCCTTCTCTGGATTCCCTTGTTTCTTTTAAAGTGTGTCATCCAGAATGCAAAACAGTATTGTAGATGTGGTCTGTCCAGCACAGAATACAATGCTAATGTTTCTGAGTTTTGGTGTTCTATTATCTATTTACATGGGAAAAAACAAGTGCATGAAGAACGTCTGTTGTTTAGACTATGACATACAGTTGAATCAACAACCTATAGAGCTATTCCATATATATTCTATATATAATATAAATTCTATATTATTCTGTCATAACAGAATAATATAGACTAAATACTTATATGTTATAATATAATATAGACTGTGTAGGTATAGATATAGATATAGATATAGATATATACTGATGAGTAGCTCTATAGGTTCTAGATAGAGATATGTGTATTTGTGTTTTTATATACCTTGTGTAAACAATTGCTCTGGGTCTAGAGTTGAAGAGAAGAGTAAATTGTATGGCCTTTCGGAAATCACACTGTTTTTCTAATGCCCCAAACTTCTCCCTGAATTGGAGGCTCATATTTTTAACATCAAAATTATTCCAGTATTGATGTACTGTTTCAAGTCATATAATAATACAAAAGCCAAAGAATTATCCTTTCAGAGCCACCCAAAGGCAATGGAGCAGCTCATAGTGGGCATGAGGAGGCTACAACAACGTATTTTAAAAATTATGCACGAGAAGCAACGTAACACATGTAATCAGAAAAACTATAAACAAAACAAAAAATGGGCCAGTTAGGATTCATTGACTGACTGACCAGTGGACAACCTACTTGATATCCACACAATGTCAATAGAACAAAAGGAAAATCCTCTACACATTGAATGGTCTCCCTATACTAGATTTTATAAGAGAAGGAAGACAAGTGTTACCTAGAATGAACAGGCCAAGATGGATTGAAAACTGCATTGTTAAAGAAAATACCTTCATTGACCATATCATGGATCCATTGGATTATTTATTTTTGGAGTCAGGATTGGGCCCAAATTTACTTCATTAAAAAGCCACTTAACTAGTATTTGTTGAATTAAATTGAAATGGAAAATCTGAAAAAACTAATGATACTTGCTATGTGTTAGATTTGTAGAATCTGAGGATTACCCATTATCTGCCAATATCACAAATTAGGTTTTGTTCTATCTGGGTTTTACCACATTTCCCAAATCCAATATTCTAAAATTTAATGTTTCTCTTGTTAATGGGCTAATAATCAGCAACAGACTCTTTCCTCCAATTGTCAGTTCATTCTAATCACTCCTAAAGCCATGTTGGGATTTAGAAATGTTTGAAATCTGGATTGGTACAACAGAAAAGAGACTAGGAATAAGGAGGTGCAGGTGCTAGTTCTAGCTCTGTCTCTTATTAGCCATGTAATCCTGGACGAGAGGCTTAGTTTCTTCATCTGAAAAATGGGTATAGAACTTGCCCTACCTATCTGGTTGAGAATCAAATGAGCTAATAAATGTAAAAAGCCTTGTGGACCTTAAAACATTATACAAATATCAGCTATTATTATTGACATCATCATAATATGAGAAAGTACATAAAATGGTTTGTAATTGGAAAATGATATATAAATATAAACTATTATCATGTTCACTATCATAAATGACATCCTATCACCATGCCCCTGGTACAGAATTCCCTACTTTTTTCCTGAGTAATAGACAGGATGCTAAATGGGATAGTTCTAACAAAAACAATCATCATTTTCAGTCAGTCAATAAACATTTAATAAGCACCTACTATGTGCAAGGCACTGTGCTAAGCACGGGAATACAAAGAAACATAAAAACAGTCCCTACCCTCAAAGAGCACACATTTTAATGGAATAGACAACATGCAAACAGCTACATGCAATTTTCATAATATATATTTTGTACTTATATATGTTTCTAGTAATATGTATTACATATGTGTAGTGCTTACATATATATGTAATAGAGGATAAAGTGTTAAATTTGAAATCAGGAAGAAAAGTCAAATTCTGCCTCAGATGTTTTGTAGCTGCATGACTAAGGCAAGTCACTTAACTTCTTCTTTGAGACTCAGGCAAGCCTCTAATACTTTACTAAATTGTACACAGATTGAAGCTGATAGAGGGAATTCCTACACTCCAGATCCTCTACACATTAGTGTATTAAGCAAGTGGTTGCAAAGAGTACTCTGCTCTTTTCGTTGTTATTGTTCAGTCCTAGCCTTAATACCCTACAAAATGAGTAAGATCAAGTGTCTCTGTTAGCTAAAAATTTATGTTACAAGGTGTATCTAAAGTGTGATGCAAGTTTCACTGTTGCCCTGGAAGGAGCTTCTGTTGCTTAACAATTTTCTCAGCTTCTCCAAGCTAAGCTGGACTATGGGCAATGTACCAGGGAATTAATGAACATGAAGTGATAGGATTTTTTTTATCTCTGTACCCCTCATCTCTAAGTAATTTACAGATATTATGACACCTATGCATAAGTAAAGAGGATAAACTCCATTTTACATAAGATTATAGAGCAAAGCGGATTCAGCGGTAACTAGAACATCCAAATGTTGAGACCAATACAGCTCTTTTGAGATCCAGTCTTCCTACATTTAGTGTGATTACCTCTTCCTTCTAGTAACTAACCACAGTCTGCTGGTTAGAGATGAAACATTTGGGCCAATTCCTGTAACCTTATCATCACAAGCACCCAGCATTCAGTAAGTTTTATGATGTAGACTGTTCAAAATGATAAGGAAGCAGAATATAATAAAAAATGCCTCCCCAGATTTAGAAACACAAGACCTGGGTTTGAAATCTGCCTCTGCCAAGCAATACCTGTATGATTTGGGGGAAGGAAGGAAGGAAGGAAGGAAGGAAGGAAGGAAGGAAGGAAGGAAGGAAGGAAGGAAGGAAGGAAGGAAGGAAGGAAGGAAGGAAATAGTATTTATTAAGTTCCTACTATGTGCTAGGCACTAATTACTTCATAAATGTTATCTCATTAGTTCTTCACAACAACTCTGAGAGATAGATGCTATTAATAATGACTATTTTACAGTTGTGTAAACTGAGATAGAGTTAAGTAACTCTTCCATAATCATGTAGTAAAATCAGGGAATACAGTACTATGAACTAAGAAGTCAAATTTCAACCCATTTTTGGTAATCTCAAGACAAGCTTAATTAAACTCTCCCAAATAAATTTCAAATATTTAGTTTTAATATTATCATTGTGGTAATGTTAGATTTTTTAAACTTTTGTAAGAAGCAGAGTGAATCAGGAAAACAAGCACACATTAAGAATTAAAATAGAGGGTGAGATAAACATGCATTTTTAAATAAAAATGTGTAAAATATATCATTTTTAAAAAATATCCTGTGCACTGAATCTGCATGGATCTCCTAGAGTTCAATAATTTACTTACCAAAATGAAAAAAAAAATTACAATACAAGACAATACAAATGTGAGTGATAATTGAGGCCTTAGGAGGTTCAATAACTTGCCCAAAGTCCCACCAACAGAGTTGGAATTTGAACTAAGACATTTTTTCACTGTACTGTTCACTCTCATTGCCTGAGGCATATAGGTGGCTACAGTGTATAGAGGATGAGGTCTAGAGTCAGGAAGTCCTGAGTTCAAATGTGGCCTCAGATACTTACTGGCTGTGTGACCCTGGGCATGTCACTTAACCAATATCTGTTTCAAGTTTCCTCAGCTGTAAAATGGGGATAATAATAGCACCTACTTCCCAGGGCAGCATGGTGGCTAAGTGGATAGATTGTGGGGCCAGAAGTCAAGAAGACTCATCTTCCTGAGTTCAAATCTGGCCTCAGATACTTATTAGCTTTGTGACCCTGGGCAAGTCACTTAACCCTGTTTGCCTCAGTTCCTCATCTGTAAAATGAGCT